GGGCCTGTTTGTCCTTGGCTGTGACTTGTTCGTCACTCTCTGTTTCTTCTCCAGACTGTCTGCTCCTCTCAAGCAGCCATCTTCACGCTGGGGCCCGGGTGGGTGGGGAGTGGGCATGAATAGCCCCATAGGAGCCAAGGTCTAGCTTTTCAGCTCCATAAGTATTTCCCCAAAACTGTTGTCTTGAGAACTCTGCTGCAGTCAACCAGTTCTCTTCCAAACTTCTCACAGAAAAGGGACACTGCTCTCCCCCACCCCACCTTGCTTTTGTCTGTTGCCCTGGTAACTAAAACCCCTGGGACACCAGACAAAGGGGCAAAAGAATTCACAGTTCTTCAGGGAGAATCCCTGTGAGCAAGGCCAAAAGACCTCCCTCCCTCCCTCCTTCCCTCCCTCCCTCCTCTCTTTCCTTTCAGCAGGAACTACTTAAGAAACACCTCGGGGGCCGGAGTGCTCTGTGCCTTATCTAAGGACCTTAAAATTAAGGTTTCATTGCAAGAAGTTTGCTACAGGGATGCATATTAAAACATTTGAATCTTAAAATGTCTGATTTTTCAGAGGAAAAGTCAGTCTTCGGCTTGATGGGCTTGGCCATGAGGACTGCCTTTGCCAGTTAGACAGAATGACAGAGGTTGCCCATGAACTGAATGAGCTAAATTAAATCTGTGGCTGCAAGATGTCAATGAAAAACTAGTCACAGCACATACACAATGTATAGTAGGTTGGAAAAGACACCTTTGCAACATTTTAATCTATAATAAAAATATTTCCAGTTTCTTTTAAGGAACGCGCAGGCAGAACAGGTACAGATGTGAAGTTTGTTGCATGGCAACCTTCCTGTAAAGGCCAGGTAACTGCGATTCTGCCCTTCCTTGTCCTAAACTGTACAGCGAGTGGGCATGGCTGTGTTCAATGAAACTTCATTCATAGAAGCAGCAGCAGGGAGCCTGCAGGTGGTGTTGGCTGACCCCACTCCAGAGCAGATGCCCGTCTTGTTCAGTTTCTGTTTTAACAGAGAGACCCAGGGAGACACAGCTCATTTCTAATTGATGTTTGAGTTTGAATTCTAGGAGCAGGTGGAAAATGCCGATAGCTTAGGTACTTTCATCCTAAAACTTTAAGAGTTGCAGCCCTGTTGCATGTTCACTTTGGGAACCTTTATCAACCCCAATACTTAAGATTTGTGCACTTTTCTGGATGGATCTTATACTTAAATAAATAATTTTTAAAAATTGACACCATGCCAATTGGATCACCACTAATCCCAGCTTACTTTAAATGTGAGTGTTGGTCTTCACCCTCCGTTACCTAGGCAGTGGTTGTCTAGTTTTTGTAAAATTTGAAGGCTTTTTTTTTTTTTGGTTTATCCCTGTGTTTACCTTTACATCCATCATGGACATTTTCCTCCTCTTTCCTCCACCGAGTGGCTCAAACGTTGCCTTTTCAGCCTGCGTTCGGCGTGGCTCCCGGGGCGTCTGTGCGGGGAGAAACCGACATGCAGTGTGGGCCCAGCTTCTCACTCTGTTGGTACAAGTGCTTATGCACTGTCATTTCCACTTCCTCTGATACAACCACTGCTTGACTGGTGGCAAAGCAGCCTTGCTGTCGTTGGGTGAAAGGCCCACTCTTGGGGGCTGGAGGCAGACACACCCTGGCAGTGGTGTTGGGGTGGACCCGAGCCTCGCCTCTCCATCTTCTTACATAGATTTCATTTTCCATCCCTTCCTCCATCTCTCGTAACTTTGTGTGCACAGTGTGCTCTTCATGGTTATGGTGGGTTTCTCTGGATTCTGTTTTCCCTCTAAACCCTCTGACATGATTTGAAAATGAGATTTTTCTGTGGATATGAGAGATTATAAAAAAGTGCTAATCAGTTTCTGCTGGATTTATTGTTTGTGCTGTGTCTGGACTGATGAGCTTAGCTTTTCAAGCTGAAGCCACGGGATGTAGGAGCCAGTCAGCTTTTCACAGAGAGAAAACAAGACCATGTAAAGGAGGGCCCTGGCCTCCCCCCGCCTCCCAGAGCACCTCTCTCAACTATCCAACTTGCCACCAAAAAAGCAATAATTTTAATATAATTTTTCATTCTTTTTTTTTAAGATTTGTATTAATTTTTAGAGAGAGGGGGGAAGGGAGAAGGGAGAAAAACGTCAATGAGAGTGAAGCATTGATCGACTGCCTCTTGCATGCCCCCAATTGGGGATCAATCCTGCAAACAGGGCATGTGCCCTGACTGGGAATCCAACTGGCAACCTTTTGGTGCACAGGCAATGCCCAACCGAGCCATGCCAGCTGGGCAATATTTTTCATTCTTAAGGAGCCCCTAGCACAATGCCTAGTACTAGCAGGGTTCCACTAGTGTTTATTAAGTGAATGAAAAACTTTCCAAATATTTGCACTTAGAATTTTCTAAAGGCTGCATTTGATGTGTAAAGTGATCCTTTCTGGAGGGGGAACAGAAGCAGCCAGGTTGGTTTGGGGACAGGGTTCTCTCAGCCAGTGTCAGGCCCTGGAAATCAAAGACGCTCCAACGCTCCCCAAGTGGAAGGTCTTGCAAAATACAGAGCTATCGACCAAGCCACACCAAGTAGCTGGAATAGAGAGAATCCTCAGTTAAGAATTAACTTATCCTATTGCTACCTCTACTCTAATACCCAGCGTATTGCCAGACTGTTCTTACCTTCCAATTGGTTCAAGGTCACCCAGTAGTGCCGCTTGGGGCTGTGGATATCTTTGTACCACTCAAGCATGTCTCTTGCATGGATGTCAGTCAATACAAGCTGTACAAACTTCCTTGTTAGTACAAAGCAAGGGCTTCCAAGATAAATTGTTACGTTATGGGTGGTTCTTCTTTGAATCCTTTGTTTGGAGATGCGTAGATATTTCCTTCAGGGGTGGATCCAGGATGATTTGGGCTTGTTGTGGATTTAATGTTTGCTGGTTGGATTACTCCAGGACTGATATTTTTGTCATTCCACTTACTTCTGATGTAGTGTATGATTTCTTTGTTGGTTTTGATTGGAAAATCCTGTCTGCAAAGGTTAATGACATACTTCCATTGAAATTTGGAATGGACCAGATCCTTCATATAGTTATTATCAACCTGGCGAGTTTGGCTCAGTGGTTAGTGCGTCAGCCTGTGGACTAAAGGGTCCCGGATTTGATTCTGGCCAATGGCATGTACCTTGGTTGCAGGCTCCATCCCTGGCCCCAGTCGGACAAGTGTGGGAGGTAGCCAATCAGTCTCCCTCCCTCCCTCCCTCCCTTTCTGAAAAGCAATGGAAAAAATATCCTCTGGTGAGGATTAAAAATAATTTTATTAAAAAA